CTTTTGCCACACATATGCTTAAATTGTCCAGTTGGTACGATTGATGCTTGTAAATCAGCGACTGCCGGTTCGAATCCCAAGATTCATAGGCAATTTTTAGATTTATAATAACAATATAAATAATTAAATCAAATTAGTCAGCATTATGGTAAGCTAGTCCAATAAATTAAATAAGATATAAAGCCGTTTTCCATGAAGTTTTTGAAAAAAAAAAACTAGAAGGCTGAACAAGGGTTAAAAGGATTGTTATTTAGTACCATAAAAAGCTTAACATGTATATTAATGATAAGCTTTTGGCTGATTAAAATCACCAGATTAAGACAGGTTAACGGGATCTATGTACAACAATTATTCAAACTAAGGCTCGTTAAAAAATCGTTGAAAGAACACTTGTGAAGCATCATAATTGTTACCTTTTGAAAAACTTCATAGAATTGCTGGAATTTTTTTTAAGTTCAAGGAACTTCGTCGTAGTTCAGCCAAAACTCTAAAAACTTAGAGAACTTTGTAGGAGTTCAGAAAATTTTGTAGTAGCTCAGGGAATGTTGTGAAAATTCAGCATAGAGCTTCATGGTTTGATTGGAAATTTTAAGAACTTAGTTTTGCTAAAAATGTTAGGAAAATTCGTAGCGAAGATTTTCAAGATTTTTCTTGTTTTTCTTTTTTTTTCGATAAGGTCATCGATGTTCTGATATCTTGGTCGAATTGAAAGAACTTGGAAGAAACCATTATGGAACTTGGAAGAAGTTGAAGAAACTTTTCAAGAAGTAAGGATTAGGGAACTGTCTACCCGAGTAGATGAGAATAGCAAACCAAGAACTAACCAATTGCAAATTTTACTATCATAGCTTATCTTGATATTATTATGTTTTTTACCCATAACACATAATAACAATCTAATAACAAAATATGATATCACATCAAAATTTGTTATTTTCATGATATTAAAATTTTGAGTCATAAAACAGTCGAAAAACAACTCAACAAAAATTTATGATATTGTATCTTATTTTGCTATTGGCATCATATTAATATTCTTTTCCATTTTTAGTCGTAAGGTGAATATTTTTTCATTTCAATGTATCAGAAATTTTTATTTATTTTTTTTTAATGACAGGTATTTATTTTCGACAGATCGCTGTCAAAATTACCGAACGACCCTGTCGCTCCATTCATTCCTGGAATTCACCCAACTGACCAATTCACTGACGAATCTTCCGCAGGATCATCTGCCAAACATGTGAGTAACGTTTGTACTTTTTTTATGGGTTCTAACCCCAAATTTTCAATTGCAGGTGCAGGATGAACAGCTAAATGCAAATATTGCACCGAAGAAGAAACGCACAGGAAAGATTTCAAGAAGTCCTACTATCGTCGATCCGGTCATTCCAGCTATTTCTGGACTTTGCCCAACTGACCAGCCCACTGACAAATGTTCTGCAAGACCATCTTCTGCTAAACATGTGAGTAGCGTCGTTCTCGTACATTTTTAGTTCTAACCTCAAATTTCAATTTACAGGTGCAGGAGGAACATCTAAAGGACAATTTTGAACCGAAAAAGAAACGCACACGAAAGACTCCAAGAAATGCGACTATCATCGATCCGGTCGTTCCAGCTATATCTGGAGTTCGCCCAACTGACCAGCCCACTAACAAATGTTCTGCAGGACCATCTTTTGCTAAACATGTGAGTAGTGTCATTCTCGTACTTTTTTAGTTCTAACCTTAAATTTAAAATTGCAGGTTCAAGAGGAACAGCTAAAGGAAAATGTTACTCCGCAAAATAAACGCCCGGGAAAAATCGCTAAAAGTGCCTCTAGCACCGGTCCTATCGTTCCAGCTATGTGTGGAGTCCCGATAACTGGTCAGTCTACTGACGAAGAATCTGCAGGGCCATCTTCTGCACATCATGGCAGTAATGTCTTTCCTTGCACGTCTGGGACTCCACAAAATTTTCAAGACCAAGAATTTGCTGGAACAACTTCTGCAAACTCTGCTTTTAGCCTTGAGTACTCAGACAGTAGTACAAGTTTGTTTGCGGGATATGCTGAAGTTGGTGTGCCAAAACCGAATGTTGATTATTTAAGAACGGTGAATGAGCTACGTCAGACAATCGAGATAATGTCAGCGGAAATAAAGCAACTCCGGGAGGAAAACTGCAAGCTGCGCCATCTAAACATGAAGCTTCAAGAATCTCTGGTCGAGAAACCTATGGGATTATCATTCTCCGACATCCCAGGATACCCCAACTCAAATTGGCTATTGAGGGTATCGCAAGATGCACACGAGAGTGATTATCTGTTCGTGAAAGAGTTGCTCTTCTCGCTGTTTCCTAGAGGCGTAGGCAACGCAACAGTGACCGGCAGGTGTTCTAACAACCCCAGAGGACGCAGCAAGAAAGCCCCGGAGCCAAATCAGAACATTCAAATTTGTTGTTGAAATGGATCCTGAAAAAGTTAAATATATGAAAGGTAAATAGTATCTTTTCAACTTTGTATACGTTATAATCATTATTATTAATCGCTAGCTCGACTGTACGAGAGAAGACGAATTTTGCAGGACCCATAGTAGGGGTCGCTCAGTATTTGTCCCAACAAATAAATAAGCACATCGCAACCGCGCTGGCGAATAATCCTGCACACTTAGTTTTTTCTACCGAGCTCGGCTGTGTAAATCTCGGCAAAAAATGTTTTACTGAGATTTCAGCAAACATTTCAGTCGTTTGCTGAGATTCAGCTAAGCATTATCCGAGACTCAGCAATCAAATGTCACTTTTGCTGAGATCTCAGTGAAATCTATTTTTGCCGAGATTTGCACAGCCGAGCTCGGTAGAAAAAACTAAGTGTGTGTGTTGCGCCAGGGGCCAACGCAATAGGACATCATAAGAAGCGTACAAATGTACGACAACAAAGGAACGACACAAGTTACGCTAGAGAAAATACTACAACACTTCAAATCTGTTTTGTCCAGCCATTGTTCGGTTTTTTTTTAGAAAGTTACGTTTTTATTTCATGTTGATTTTATCGTTATTGTTATTACAAATAAAAAAAGCTTGCCGAATTGTTGAACTCTATCATTATTATCAGTAAAACTGATTCTCCTCCGAAAAAAAAATACTATTATTAAGCTCTTCAAGAAGAATAACTAAAGCTGCTATTATTTTGTTATTCAATCCGAACAACTGAATTTATTCTTAATTAGTTCTTATTAGTTAATAACACATTTTGCAATTGATTAGTTCTTAATATCTCAATAATAGCTAAATATGTTTTGGACTTTTTTGATTTTTTTTGTTCTTAGTTTGATATTACAATAACAAGATTTGCTATTATTTAGTTTTTTTCCCGAACGCTTTCCGTTATTATTTTTGATATTTTAACTCTTATTTCAATCAAAATAATAACAAATTGAGATGTTCTGATATCCTATTTTTAATAGCAAAACTTGCTATTGGTTTGCTATTCTCACCTACTCGGGTAAGGAACATTAGAGCAATTTTGTCGCATCTCAGGAAATTTCGCCACTTGCTGCGTCAAAACTCCTCTTTTGTTAATCATCATTAACATTTTCTGACTAAATTATTGGTTAATTTTATTGTAGAAACTTGACATATATCCTACTAGGTTAGATTTTCTTTATTAGGGAGGCTTTCGGTCTGGGGCCGGTTCGCCTCCAACCCCTTAATACTGAAGATAAAACAAATCCTAATTCAGATATTGGTGAATAAAAGAGCGAAAAATAAAATTTAACGGTAATGTCCTAGACACGACCGCAATATGACGTAGAACTACGCAAAATTGATGTATGTCATATATTTTTGACTATTATACTTTATCTAAAAAAATTCAAGTATTTCAATGTTTCGGGTACGGTTCAATGTTGGTTCAAGTATTTTTCCTGGAATGTAATAAATTATGAAAATTCAAATGTGAGGTCCTAAACTAGCCGTTATATATATTGGAGTAGCACCCCAGTATAGTCCACAAATACACCATGCATGTTTTGGGATAAAAAAAAATTGCCAAAAAATACCTTAATTTTTTCAGTAGCTCCATCTAGTTTTAAATCAGGTCCCTGAAGCAGAGAAGAGAGTGAAGGTTGCATTTTATGATAACGCAACAGGCAGTTGTTTTCCTTATCAGAGGACGGTACTTTCAATATTGAACAAAATGCTGTTTTATATCTTTTCAGGTTCAAGCAGAACGATGTGCAACCAAGTGGTACTCGATTATGACGACTGGGTTTAGGGAAAACGTTTATTTCATGAAAACAGTGATAAAATGATCATTTGTACATTTTTCAAAAGTTTTTTTTTATTGAAAATTGGAAAAGTTTTTATTTCAATAAATTCGGAAAGTAATATCCGATCGATTAACGTATTGGATTTTAATTTAATCTATAAGTGACAAAGTTACAAGCGTTCAAAACCTAACACTTTTCATCATACATATTTTTGATTTGCACCCCAGTATAGTCGACAAAGACGTAGTTCTACGTCAAAAAACAAAAAATGATTCACCTCAATCTGAACCAAAGCTGCAGGTCTTTGGCGGTTTGAAGATGTATTTAAAGAGGAGGTTCAAAATAGGAGTACCTATCTAAAGTAGAAATAATTGCCCATTCAATTAAAGGTTCTGAAATCAAAATATAATCAAATACGGTATTTTTCCAATAATATTCCGCTGGAATTAAAGAAATGGCTATGCATATTAAATATCCGCTGGAAATCATCCTTAATAACGAAGCAGCCCTTGTTTCAATCCCTTTATATTGAATACGCTTCGTGCCGGAAAACTTTTCGTTCGCTGGCTCTATGAGGTACCCGACAGGTGGTCTTCGGTTATTAAACTTTTTTCGCACCCTTCAGAACAACAATCGAATGAACCCTCAAACACGTGGTCAACCGGTATGTGTGCCATCGACATCGACGGTCCCCGCATCCAAATCCCCATTAATATTCCTTTTGATCATTTGTAATTAATGTCTAGACCAACACTCACCGTTCGCCACTATTCCCATATTAGATGAAGGAGCAGCAACCGATTGCACCTGATTTTGAGTCATCGTTCCAACTAGCAGCAGTAGTGTGAGCAGGACACGTGGCAACACTGTTGCCCACAGCATCAGGAGGGTCCCCACTCCTCCGGCTCGAACGTGGGGCATCCTCTCCAATCAATTATAAGTACTCAGCAACGGGAAAACCGGCAGACAACCGCGTCGAAACGGTGCCACGGGCTGCACCACTGCACGATTACGAGTGTAGGAGGCTTGGCAAGTGGCCACCAAGGATCAGAACAAACAAGCTCCGAAACTAGTTTAACAAGGTGTCAGACACAGTCGTGACAATCGCCACCACGTACTTCCGGTTGTTGTAGTTTGTCACACTAGTAGTTATGCAATCTCACCGATGGATTTCTGGAATAGCACACATTTACTTCTGTAACTCACAACCTTCACCTTCAATCATCCGGTAATCACCACTTAATCAGTTATAATATGCGAACGATTAGCACGCGTAACGAACTCAAATACGTGTTATGATTAAATACGGATGTGTACACAGCACTGCCACTGTAATGTAGATGAAATCACTTAATGGAAACCGTATAATTCACACTAAGCCACATTAATCCACTTCATTACGGATGATCACTAAACCGAATCACAAAACTATTACCCTTCAATCCACTAAACATTGGAAATCGAGCCGCGAGTCCGCGAAAAACACTACCGCTCTACAGCGCATCCGAAACGACACTGAAAAGAAACGGTCAACAGTTTCCTCACCGAGGGTTCCGTTTATCTCGGCGAAATACCAATTTTATATTTATTCATCATCACAGGGCAGAGCACGGACTGCCATCGAAGATCCACTCAACTACGCTGCGTTAGCAATATAGCACAGCAGTAGTGTCATGACCGTCATCATCGCTATCATCAGCAACAACAACAACAACAAACCGTACGTAGAAACGCTCCCAATGTTTACCTTTTGAAATTTAGCATTTTTCTCTCAAATCTCTCACATGTTTTCCATAACCCAAACGGATGACTGCTTCCTCGTGTTATAAACATAACAATATCGGGAAATCCTAACCTACTCTCTTGCAGCATCTACTAGACCAAATTCTCTCATTGTTTACATTTTCACACCTTGATGCATGAGCGAATCCTTTCCACAGCAACAAAAACACCAGCCGGCGAGAGAAAATAAGGCAACCAAGAGAGAAAAACTCACTCCGAACCGAACATAAGCCGAGTTCCACCGGCCGAAGCCCAACGGGATCACTGCGCATGCTCTCAACCCTCCCCTTCTCGTACCGGACGGCGGAGAATCTCTCATCCGCTACTCCCAGTGGAACAGTTTTCCTCCCACCAAAACCCTATTCAGCATGCACACCACGCGCAGGTGAGGATTCTTTTTTGCTCTCATTTTCCCCTCCCCGAGAGAAGGGACCCCCATCCACCGGAACTCCACCATACAGAAACGTCCGTTCGACCAATCAGCACTCAGCTCAGCGCGCCTTGTGCACAAAAGAAGTGTCCCGTTTCTTTCCGACAACGACGGCGACGACGACGACGACGTCGATGTTCAAGAAGAAGAAAAACCTGAGTCGTTTTTCCATGCACTCACCTGAGCCTCGTCCCCACACTTTTCACGCTACCCCTTCTAGCTGTGGTTATAACAATGGACGAATACATAAGAGCCTGGATGCAGCTTCTTCGTCCTCGACTTTCTTTTCCTCCGGGACGGTGCTCGTCTTCATGGAAAAGATGTTTCGCCTGAATTATTTCCGTCTGGCCCCGCACAGTTTTGCAGCTTAGTCGTCGGAGGATGTGAAATACAAGAAAGGATTGCAAAGGACACTCCCAAGGATAAGCACACATAACCAAATGCCCGAATATTGGGGGCTCAAAACGTTGCTCTACTGTCTGTAACATTGACCCCGGAACGTGCGAGACTTATGGCAAGTCGTATTTGCATGCATACGCTTATTTACCAGTGTTGTTCCTCTTCCTTCCCATCCGTGGCCCGGCGGCAACAGCACCATTGAGCGGGGAAGATTCATCAGATTAGATGACGTCGTTTGGCTTGGGAAGATGTACATAGCTGCTGGCACTGGCACCCATACCAGATCTGACTAAGTGTGGCGGTGGCCAAAGCAATGGCGGCGGCGGTGGTGACTTCGTCGTTGGTCGACACAGAAAGTATGTCAACTACAGCAGCAACAATGGTGACGTCGCACGCGTCGCCGCCAGAAGACAAAAGTGCGACTTATGTACAACACGCGCTTTGATTGCTACAGCTACGTGTTGAAATGGGTGGATAAGGTGTCCCGTCCGGCGACGACGTGAACGCAAACGAAGTAAAGTGTATCCATTCATCGCTCCGAGGGGAGGGGATCAATGTTTTGGATGCAAACGCGCCAAAGGTCGATAACCTTGCCCATACAGAACCTAAAGACGAGGCTTAGAACAATTGATTAAACCGTGTTGTACCAAAATCTGGACACTTTTAAATGTTAAGAATTCAGAATCATAAGGGCCTAATTGCGATGTTCGATTCCCTTCATCGATTTTCCCTTTTATTAACACTCCGAATACGGTGGGTAAACAACTTTACGCCGACTACGAAGCCTCCGAAAGCGTGTAACGGTAAGTTTGCAATAACATAACATAGCCATTTCTTGATCAATTTCAAAAATTGCGATACCTCTAGATTTCCTAAGGCTTGTAGATTTTATTGATCTTACACACTTAAACAGAGACCCTGAGTTCGGTAAAAAAAATTACCGTCTTAGATCGGTAATGCTAAAAATTACAGGTGTTTCGGTATTTTCTCGCTATATTGCTGAAAACTGTAAATGAAATGACCGAATTCCGGTAATTTCATTATAATTTACCGAAAACGGTAAACATTTTTACCGGCAGGTCTGTAAATCAGCTTCATCACTGACTTCGGTGAAATATTTTACTGAAGTTTCGGTAAACAAAGCGTTCCATTACTGAGTTCGGCAATGGTCTAGGTAAACGTCAAATCCACCATATTATTATTTTCGATCAACTTTAAAAACGTTCGTGCTTGTGAAAAATAAAAAGGTGAAATTATGGAGGCTGTTATACAACACCAAAATGAGTGAATCGTAGATATTTTCCGCAAATAATTAATTTTCGTTATCTAAATAAATACCGATTACAGATGGCCGATGTTGTTGCTTGTTTTTTCTGTCGGTCCAAGTTTCATTCCCGTTGGCGACGATCTGAAAACAGCATTTGGAATATTCTTCCAAAGCTTCCTTGTTTTCAGTGTAGCGCCGAATCCTTCCGTCAAAAACGGTTTTGTTCATTGGTGGTGCAATTTGCAACACTAACTTATTGATCACGACAGCAGCCAATTGTTTACATGGGTTGCAGTGACCGCCACCTTGAAACAATATTAAAGCAAATTACAGTTGAGTCGGTTACCTTTTTAAAAAATTACAGATCTCTCGGTAATTTTCGATTTGCATATCGTCCTCAAAATTACAGTTCTCCTGTAAAGTCGACTACAAATCAAGCAATGCACATCGGTAAACGTTACCGATCGTTCGGTAAATTTGACAGCTAATTTTGCTGATCCAGTTTACAGATTTTTCGGTAATGTTCTCGATTACCGAAAACATTACCGACCGTTCAGCTGTTGAGCATTCGGTAAATGAATTACCGAAGTCGGTGATTTTTTCCAAGTGTGTAAGAAGATTGAAAATAGAGTAGCCTACTTTTTTTAAAAAAGGGAAAGAGTCGTTACACGTTTTTTTAAAGGTGTGTTCATGGGTTTTGCAAGTGGATTAAGATCTATAATTTAGATTAATAGGCACAAATGTTCATAATTAGCCACAATGCAGTCGGAACGTCCCTCGAAAGATCCGGAATATCCGTAAAAGTGGCCAATTCACGAACGTGATCCTATAGCTCCGTGTTTTTTTTTTTTTTGAAAACATTAGGAATTGTGATATAAGAAAGGATTTTGGGTTGTGACATAAACATGGACCTGGATGGCCATCGAACCATCCTCCGGAAGATCCGGAACCTCCAAAAAAGTGGTCAATCTATGAAACTGATCCTGATCCAAGAACTGTGATATTAGAAAGAATTTGGTGTCGTGACATAAACATTGACCCGAATGACCCTCGGACTGTCCTCCGGAAGATCCGTAAAAGTGGTCCATCCATCAAACTGATCCTAGAGCTACGCAGTTTTTTTTTTCAAAAATATTAGGAACTGTGATATAAGAATGAATTTGGGGTCGTGACATAAACATGGTCCGGATGGCTATGTGCATCAGCCAATCAACGATCTTGTTTATATGAAATTCCTCAACATGTTTGTAAACAAAGTGTTGAGGATTTCAAAATGGCTGAAGCTTAACCACAAATCTTGAACTGAACAGGCTAACTTTAACTGCGTTTGTGTGTCCAAGCACATTTAGCAATACAGTTGAATTCGTGCAACCTGGTGGTGTGGAGATCTAGCCCTCACGTATGTCCGGAGTGATTTGAGATTTGGGCGTAATTACATTTGTAAACAAACACGTCAATCGACGATTTCTCGCAAATTAAACCTCAATCTCAAAAACTAATAACACTACCAGGTAGAGGATTGATTTCTCTGTCATTTGGTATAGTTTGTGTGCTAGATTGAGCTTTTATTCGTGAGAAATCAGTGATTGACATGTTTGTTTACAAAAGCAATTACGCCCAAATCTCAAACCACTCCGGATGTGTTGGTAGAGGGAAAAATGCAAACATTTCAGAAGACGATTAAAAAAACACGGAGCTCTAGAATCAGTTTCATGGAATTAGCACTCTTATGGATATTCCGGATCTCGCGGAGGATGGTTTCATAGCCATCCTGGACCATGTTTATGTCACGACCAAAAAATTCTATCTTATATCACAGTTCCAAATGTTAAATAAAAAAACCCGCGGACCACTTTTACGGATGTTCCGGATTTTCCGGAGGACCGTTTTGTTATCTACAGGATCCATATGAAGAAACGATGACTGTATTCTGGCGAACTATGAACGTTTTTGCTAATTAATTTAAATTATAGATCATAAGCCACTTGCAAATCCCATAAACATACCTTTTAAAAAAAAGTGTAACGACTTTTTCCGCTTTTTAAAAAAAGTAAACAACCTTATTTTCAATCTTTTTAAGATCAAAATAATCTACAGACCCTAGGAATTCTAGAGGTACCGCAATTTTTGAAATTCATCAAGAAATGGCTGAGCTATGCCATTGCAAACTAGGCGTTACACGCTTTTCGGAGGCACCGTATTCGGAGTGTTAATAACTCGGCTGGATTAACAGTTTTTGGTGCGTTCGATGTTGCATTTGAAACCTAATACAACCTTTCACTACACTGCACAGTGGGAAATCGCTGACCATTAGATAAAATTGGAAAATTTGCATTTCCTCCTCTATTCTATTTTTTCTATCATTCTATATTATTTACCCGGTTCAAATCCAAAATTTGAACGCAATGTGAAATTTTTTTGAATTTTTTGTGGCTTTTTGAATTTGGTTACCCAAGTAACAATTTCCAGTTGAAGAAACGCTTTCGTTTTGATTTTGTTCAGCTGCATGTTGAATAATAATTGCACAATGTGTTCACCACAACTTTTATAAAACCCTTGTTTACACTGGTTTGGAGAACCTATACAACTGCAACAAAAAGGTGTTGTCTAACGTATTC